GTTTTTATCCTAACCCCAAAAGATGAGTGTCATTATGGCTGAATTTATTTGATACTATACTTTAAGAATTATCCATTAAGTTGTTTACACCTGCATTTCAGAGTTTTTTTCTATAGCTGAATAATATGTTTGAAATAGAAATATAGAATTCTAGAAAGAGAAATAACCTATGTGAACACAAGTTTTATCCAAAACAGAAATAGGAAAAGGACAAAAATACTTAAGATTTTAAACAATGGCAAGGAAGTTGGAGTTATTAGATTTTTTTCAAGGGAAGGCACCACTATTAGTTTGCTGTTAGTATTATAAAATAGAATGGAATATAAAGCTGAGAAACTTTGCAAATTATTCTGTTGCGGTGGTATTTCTCACATGAATTGGCCTATAGAGCAGTGGTGGGATTCAGCCAGTTTGCACCAGTTCAGCAGATTTTTTGTTGCCCAGGCCCAGAATGGACTTCTGGAAGCGGCATCCACATAGAGAACTGGTTGTTCACTTATTTGAATCCCACCACTGCTATAGAGTCACATCACTTGAAATAGGATATTCTCATTACCTGTACACCCTTTATTATTATTTAATAATTTCCTATGCTATGTGATTTTTCCCTTGCTTCATTATGCATAGCAAAATGATTCAGCAAATTGAGTCATTGACAACCACTTAGAATATTCATATTACCTATATAAAGCTGAATTATACAAACAGCTTCTTTATGTAAAGGTAGTAACTTTGCAAATAATCTCTCCTACCATCTCTTAAAACTGGTTGGAAGTCAAATGTTCTTTTCCCTGATTTCTAGCCCCAGAGGCTCCTCGTTTAAAAAAAGCATGGAAACAGCTGCTTGGCAACTCTTAGTGTAACTCCATATTGCTTTCTGTAACTCAGGGGCACTGCATCTCTTAATAGAGTATTTTAACTGAATTAGACCCACACAGAACTGCTAATAAACAAGAAGGTAGAAGAGATTATTATAATAGAAAAGGCAAAGCCTTACCTAACTGCCATGAGACTTGGGCATGCTCAGTACAATAAAATGCTTATTGGATATGGAGTAACCACTGAATATATAATGGAAAAGGAAACTGTAGAAGGATAATTCTTTTTGCTGTTTTTAGCAGAGAATAAAGTTCTGAAATGTTATATAGAACAGCAATTAAATTAGAGAAACATTCATGTTGTGTCCCAGGCATTTTGAAAAGTACTCAGATTTTGACAGCTGTCAATTCTTAAATGTATATGAAGGCTGACAAAGTTTGCATGGATAACAACAATAAAACAACATATTGTTTGAAAACTGACTGCTATCTCTTCGCATATTACTCAGCTGATTATCCCCATATAATTAAACAGAAAGTGTTATGAATAATAGCCTCTTTACATGCCTTGTAGGAATCTCTAAAAGACAACATAATATGTTTATATAGCAATTATTACAGCAATTGTATTTTGCTTAGTACAATTTATATATTTAATATTTTTGCCAATAATGTTAAGAGCTGAAAATATTGTTGAAAATGTAAATAGTTCTGCGAGTAATCCACTGTCCTGCTGATGCCTGGTATCTTCCATGCAATTTAATACAGTGATACAAATGGCCAAGCTACTATGTAATTTCAATTTCTTGTGGTTTATTTATTTGTTAGCATGAAAATAAGAAAGGAATGCTAAGGCAAGAAGGGTCTGTTATAAAAATGTCCCTTTACATAATTGCATACTTGTTTCATTGTTTTAAAGATGTGTGCCAAAAATGTATTGCACCATGTTTATTTTCAGCAATGATAAAGTTGAATATTTATGTATAATATTCATCTAATGCATTTTAATACTAGAAAAAATATATATCATTTAAAAATATTTTAAAAATATTATTCAGAAAGGGAAGAGGGTGAGAAAAATTCACTTTTAAAACAGAAGCAAAATCTGGATTTTGTTATAACTTGGTCACATTCAACAATCTAGAAAAAAAAGCATGTAAAGGCTTTTGTTTAAAATCTCATCATTCAAGACTAACAAATTCAAGGCTTCAGCTTGGGGAGGGGACATCATATCAATAGCCCGCTATGTTACTACATTTAATTAATTTTTATTTAATATTGTTATTTTATTCTCAATTCTGTGTGGCAATAACCAGAAATATCTCATGCAGTATAAAATAAGTTTATTTTTGGTTTTCCAGGAATACAGATATAAGCATTAAATTGTAATGTCAAATATATCAAGCAATAATAAATGTGTGTGAAGAGAACTCTCTATTAAACAAACATCTTAAAATCTGATATTTGCAGTTCTATTGAAAACTATTTTAATATACAGAATTTTCTGATGAAAAAAACCGTATCTTTTTAAAATGTCTTTAATGATTCTTTTATTAGCATTTATGTTTGCTTTAGATTTTCTCTAAAATGTTTGAAAATGTTTGTTTTCTTTCTTCTCTTCCAAGTACCACATTGTAGACAAAAAATCTTTTAAAGAAAATATTATTATGCAACTAAACCACAATATTTCACATGGCATAAAGCTCTCAATTATATTTTTATAAAATATTTTGTTTTGCTAAATATTAATCACTTGCATATGGATTTTATAGAAATCCATATAATAAATTATTGTAAGGACTAAACATTGTAATAATATACATTGGTTAAGTCATAATCAGACTGAAAAATCCACAAACATTCAATATTAATGTTGAATGTTGAGAAGTACTCTTCAGCATTAATATTTCAGTAATGTATACCTATATTTATAGACTTCAGTAATCAACATTATATTCTTAATTGTATAATTTTATACAAGAATATTAATAATCAAAATGATTTCTTAGTTAATATTGTTCTAATATCCCAACAAACATACAATTCTACAAATGAGAAATACAATATTAAGATGCCTATTAAGATGCAGTGTTGTCTATATTGCATTTAATATAAAATAGTATTTGCAATTTCTAAACAGAAGCATAGTTCTCTGTAAATTAAATTTGTAAAACAAAAGTAAATGATGGTGTACTTTCACCAGATGAAGAATGCATTTTAAGAAGATCAGCATTAAAAGAAGTTGTTCTCACATTCTATATGCAAGCAAAAATAATGAAATTAAGATTGAGAACAAAGATAAGAAACGCTATAGAAATAAAATAATTAAGATTGGCAGAGCAGCTATTTTTATGCACATCAAACTTACAATAATAGTTCAGGTCAAATGAAAAATAAAATCTTACTAAGCATTCTCTAAAGCTTTCTTAACAAAGGGGCTTGTGGCCCTTTCATGCACAGAGACACACAAACCTTAACCCTTGACCTTTTCTCAGTTGACAAAATAAGAATACTGTTACATATCATATAAATGTTCATTTTGTACAAATTCTTTCTTCTATATTCTTGGGTTAGGAAAAGGTGCTCTATTCAGAAAGAGTCCAAGACAAGCCTGCTTTTTAACTGTCATGTGACTCTTTTTTTTTCCCCCTAAAACCCATGTGCTCATGTATCATTTTACTCCAAAATATCTACGCAGATTTCAGCTCAACCTGGCTTTGCTCTGAATGCATGACATAAACTGTGTGGGAGCATGAGAACTATCTCTCTTAAAAGCAAGGTCCTCATAGTTGGCCTGTAACCATGGAAGCAGATGTCTCTTTTTTGCTTGTGTTTTTTTTTTTCCTTTTGCTTACCCCTGCTTACCTCTTTGCAGCCCCGAGCTGCTCCTTATTGTTAAAAGGGGGCTGGCTTGATTTTTCTTCATCGTGAACGAACTTGTCTCTTTTTTCAAAGGCTATGATGCTGCAGGTCATCGGTCTAGACTGTTTGGACGGTCCAGAGAATAGCCTTGAAGTAACCCTTGCTCTGTCTGTGCCACACCACCAGCCGAGCAACTGCAGACTGTGGGGGGACATTGGAGATCTGTTTTTGAAAAGAAGTCCGTCTGATTTTGCCATTGTGCCTTTTCACTCATCGATCGAATGAATATCGAACCTTCTGTCGTTGCATGTGTGAAATAGATAGCTTAGCAAGCATATTTGAGCTCAATCCTATGCAAAGGGCCAAACTGTTATTCTGTTCTTCCTAATTTTCATTTTGTGTTCTCCAAGAGGTGTTCTCCATCAGAAATCTCTTTTTAATATATATTACCCAGTTACATACTAATGTTAAATGCCATCTATACATTCGCATTTCCTCCCTCCTCAGGCTACATCAGCTAACACCTTTATATTCTAAGATTTGGAAGTTGTTTTGTGTGTGTGTTTGTGTGTCCAGTTCCTTTAAGTTTCATAACTGAGCAAAACATCTGTGTTTTAAAAATAATTTGCTGAAGGGAAATGTGAGTTCTCATAACCAGTCAAACATGTTCTAAAATCACACTGTGTTATACTGACAGTTATTATACTAATTATTATACTAAAGCTTATTAGAGGAAAAATAAAACATATTCTCATATTTTATGTGATAAAGTAACTGCTTCTCAGAACATTTTTTCTAAATGGGAAAAAGAAACTGTCTCTCACAAATGTTCACACAAAGAACCAAATATGAAGCATTCTTATATTATTTTATATCATCCAAATAAACATCAGTCTGAAAACAATAGGCAATGTTATTTAACTGAAACATATTTATGTTTTTGATGAAACAAAGCACATGAAAATTATGTGGAAATTTATTAAATCAACCATAATTCAAATGCATTTGCTTTCTTTTTAAAAGGTCCCAAGGTACCTAAATGAGATATTCTGAAATTCATTCATACTATTTTGCTTATATTCAAACTCTATGAACGAATCTCTGTCATAAATGGAAATTAAAAAAAAAGTTCCCACACTGAAAACTGTGGGGATGTGCTCATTGTAGCCTTTATACTGATCCAATAAAATTCAAATCAAATAGGCTTACATTTTCTTCTGGGGGTCGCTTATCCAGCATTGTCTATATATGGCTTCAGCATCTATATATGTTTTCAGATATCACTGACTCTGTACTTGGAGACATACCTATTTTTTTCTAATTGCCAAAGGCAAAGGGGAGGTGCACTAACGAATAAAGAAGGTTATTGTGACAGATGAAACATAATTCACAATGAATACTCTTTTCATTCAGACTTAACATGGAAGAGGATTAGTCCAAGCTGAATTTTAGGAGAAAAAGTAGACTTCATTCCAATAATAAAAGGACATGCCAGAAACTGGAAAACTACTGTAAATGCAAACAGGATTTTGCTCATGATTTTGGATTGTTTCATATCAGAAGAAATATTAAACTAAGGAAAGTTGAAGATAAATAGCCAATAGAAACCAAAATGATATGTGATTTTTTTTTCTAGACAGGATCATGATGAATGCTTATACTATGTTTCTTCTTCATTTGACAGAGATTTAATTAATGAAAAATGTTTGTTTTTCTTCAGTAAATGCGTTCTTTGAAAGTAGGTATTCCTTTTTATATGTTTACTAAAGTTACCTTTCTTTATATTTGTTAATGATTCTTTTAGACTTTGTTTATATTTACAAGGGGGTTAAATTTAGTGAAAAGTATCACAATAATTATTTTACTGTATGCAAATATGTTGGATATCAAATGTTGATTTGGAATAATAACTGGCTTAAATTTTAATTACTGCTTATAAGAATTTTATTAATTTTGTTTCTTTCTACATGCTTTGAGACTACTAACAAAGTAAGTTAATACTTATTTGATATGCTAGATTTTTTTTAAAAAAATGTTCTAAATTATTTTCATTTCTTTCACTGGAAGTTCGTTTGACTAAGGGATGTACATATTTTAAAATTTGACCATTTTTAATTTTATCCATGGCTATATTAGAAAACTGTTCATAGCTTTTATACAGATGAATGCAAAGCCTAAAAAGAAAATATCTAAAAGATATACATGGAAAAGATGTTCTATATATTTAATGTTATTACATATTATAAAATAGATTAAAAATATTTTCAGGAAGTTAACATTATCAAAATATTTCAGATAAGTGAATTCCTATAGTTGCTCATCTGAAAATCTCACTGAGTCAACCAGAATGGCTTTTGAGAATGCAAATATAGGATTGTACTATGTCTCTTTAATATATTACTTCTATTTTCAGCTATTTTGCTAGATGCTACGACCCCTAACTTCTGAACAATATGCTGTATATTTCAGCAACCTATGAACATTAAAGAAACTTGTGAATTAAGATTCCATAAAACAACAGAAGATTGTCCCTTTAAATTACATTTGCATAAAATTTTATACAAATTTTATACAATTTTATTATAGGGGAAAAAAATCACCTCAGAACATTCTCAGAATTCAACAATATTTCTTAATGTTTATTTAATCAAATATAACCTTTCTTTTATAAAAAAATTAATAAGTCAGCAATGATGAAAAATAAGGGTAGAAAAAAAAGCAAGAACAGTTTAGCATTATGAAGAAGAAAGATTTTTTTAAAAACTTTCCTTTAATTAAATGTTTACATTTCTATTTGTTATCTAGAGAAAACCATTAGGTGATAAAACACATACTTTTTTGCTTTTCATTTTAAATGATACTCATTTAGATTTATTTAATCCTTAGATAATTTTTTTAACATAAACTGTAACTGATTATTTAAAATATGAGGTTTACAATTAAAAGCTAAAAGAGCATATTTTGAACACTGCTAAATTTGTACATGGGCATGTTTAGAAAAAGAAAGAATTGAAGCCGGTAATTTATCTAAAGAATAAGATATAATAATTCTATTTGAATTTTCTATTTTAAGTTATTCAGTAAAATATGTCATTATATTGTAAGCTATTTTTTTTAAAAAAAACATGTTCTAGAAGATGGAATAAAATTGCAACCTGAAATACTTTAAATACTGCATTGGATATTTTCAATACTAATTCAGAATATCAGAATGTATGAAAATGAATTCTTCAAACTGTATTTTTATCTAAAAGTGCTTGTGGTTTATTTGCCATGACTTTGGATCGTTAATTATTATATAAATTCTGGCCAGTGCTGAACCATACTGAAATAAAAATATTTAGATTAGTTGGGGCTGGGAGCAATACGCTAGGTCTTTCTTTCTTTTAGATACTATGATTTCATAAGACAAGCTGGAGGAGAGTCAAATCTGCCACATGCTGTGTGAAAAAAATGCCACCCTGGTGTGAACAAAGGGTTTAGAATGGAGTCAAGAAGCGTGCAAGCTCAATGTCTAAGCTTTTCCTGTGAATTGTTCTGCCACAACCTGCAGGATATCAAGTGGGCTGGAAAGAATAGGGAGCTCTTGGAAGCTACAGCAGAGAAACACTTGCAATCCAAAGGAGAGAGAGAGAGAGAGACAGAGAGAGAGAAAGAGAGCCTCTTTTGTTTTGTGCTTCCTTCGGCAAACTGTTTTACCCAAAACAGAAACCAAATTTCAGACAAAAATTTAAATAAAACTCCAAGCTTGGCTAAAGAATCGATATTATCTGCCTTTACATCTTGAACTTTGAAATTTATTAATAATGTAAATCATAGCATGGGTCTTTCGAGTGTCGTTCCAAATGGGCTTTAATAGGCCAAATATAAAAATGCTACAAAATACATCAAAGGCTCTGAAACCATTTTGTGAACTGAGATTGAATAAAGCATTCACTATCTCATTCTGTTATATTTTTGTTTAAGTGACAATAAAATTTAGTTTTGATTACTAGGCTCAATGAGATCCTTTAGTTGCCTAGTTGATTACCTGAAAAAAGTTATTATCATGCTTACAGTTATTATTAGAGAGTATTACAGCATATTATCTTTTTACCCTGCATTAAAAAAATTCTAGCAATAAAATTTCAAAATGTGAATAATAATGATCCTATGATTTTCATTTTGTTTATAGAATCAGTTAAATTTGTTTAAAGTATAACATTACAAGCAAATTTCAGAATGTATGTAACACTGAATCCTTGCTTCTTGAATGGATTATAAACTTATTCTAATTACTCTATAGCTTTAATTCATTTGAATTATAGTTTGAAAAACTAACACTTAAGGTTTTAAGCTTTAATACTATATCATATTATAAAAAATAAAATAGATTGACTGTCCTGCCCTATAATCTCCTAATTCAGCTCCTATTTGTTATTACTTTTTGAATAATAGGAAAGAAGAAGAAAAAGAAAGTATATAGTATATTTTCCCACAAAACAAATATAGTATTCATGGCAAATAGACTGAATCAATCTATTCATGGGAAGAGACTGATTCAATCTGAACATATTATTATGAATTCAGTGTAGGTGTTATTAAATGAGTCATTCTCTACTCAGGAATATTCTACTGAGCACAATTATACTTCAGAAAGACCTATTCTGCTATGAAACTGTTTCGTTGTGAAATTGAAGCAGAAATACCAAGGCTGTAAGGTAAGACATAGTACTAAATTACAAATTTAAGATGACAATCACATCTTGGCCAGTCTGTTTAAAAATAATCTGACCATTTGCTAGTATAATCAATCCCTGTACTGAGCAACATTTTTATATTTTCCTATTACCAGATTTGTAGCAATGAGTCAATTCATCACTCCTAAAGGAGAGTATAACTAAAATTATTTACAATCCCACCTGCCCATTTTATAAGTACAACAATATTGCATTAAGTTGGAAGAAATATGTCAACAGCTTTAATTATTCTGAACTCATGTGAATTAATTTGGTTTCCTTTCTTTGTTCTGTATTATCACTTGTCTTTTTTTTTCTCTTTGCAATAGAGCATATGACTTCTTTTTCCTCCCAACTAAAATAGGCTAAATTTCCATCTTTCATCTCTCCAATTTTTACAAATGTAGTACAGTACATCTACACAGAGACACAGATATCTTTAGACCATGCCTAGTGTTCTGCTTTTTATTTTTGTTATCTTTATTTGTATCCTATAATGTCTTGCTAACTTATTCCAATTTCTTTATTCTCTATCCCTTATATACCCTCCATTATGTGTCTTTTGAAAAATTGGGCCACATTTTTCTCTGTAACCCATCTAAAACATATCCTCTTTTACTCTTCATCACACTTGTTTCTTTGTACTCCCATCTCTTGTTTGTTCTTTTTTCTTTCTTCAATCATTACTCCTTTTCCTTAAATCTTTATCTCAAAGTCTATGCAATTTAATAGCACCCCCCCGCGCGCTATTAACACAGTAGAAGATATTGATAGAAGATAGCAAAATTGTATCAACTTCATCTGTCCTCTAAAAGGAGCAGCAGCAATGGATGACAAATGATTGGGGGCTTTGATAGGTCTTTTTAATTTCTATTAAAAAATAGGAAAAATGCATATGTGGGATTTTCTTAGAAATGTCTGCTCAGAGTCACCTTGAATTGCAAAATGGACAACAAGTGAATTTAACAACAACAACAACTGTCTGGCTGTGCAGCGAACCATAATAATAGAAATGGGGGGACCATAAAATGGAGAAAGTCATAGAAAATGAAGCCGCTAAAGTGTTTAGGAACTATAGAATTTAAACAGACAGGCACTTACCACATAACACCTCAGACTTAACAACTATCAATAAGAAAGACAAAAAAGTCTGGATAGTAGACATGGCAGTGCCTGGAGACAGCAAGAGAAAGAACTGGAGAAGATAATAAAATACCAAGATCTGCAAATAGAAATAAAATGACTGTGGCAAAAGAAAGTAAAGATAGTACAACTGGTAATAGGCAACCCCAAAAGAGCTGGAGTAGCACTTGAACACCATTGGCATTGACAAAATCACTATCAATCAATTACAAAAGGCAGCTTTACTTCGAATAGCTTACATCCTCCGACGATACCTTTAACACTCTGAACAACAACATCTGCCTATTCCAGGACTTAGGGAAGAACTCCATAAGTGGATAAAAATGCAAAATTCAGTTTGAGCATCTAGCTGACAGTGCAACAAATTAAAATAATAATAATATGCAAAGTCTAGTTTCAGCTGTATTTTTAAAATGTGTATACGTATTCATTTAACCCAGAAGCCTGTAATTGTAGCATTTGGGGTTTTTTTTGTCACAGTCACATCTAACTCTTATTATTCTGAAATTATTTTCACATCTATGATGGGGGACATTTCAGACATTTAGGTAATTGTTATTAAACTTTCCATTAAGCTGGAAAGTCTTCATAAGGTGGCATGCTAAAAGCTATATTGACAATTGAATATTGAATCTCCTAGAGTAAATTTAGATAACAAAATATAAACCATAAATCTTTTTCTGGCCTTTATGTAGAACTGAGCTACCCACAATAATGTTGCATTTTTTCCCTGAGACTTGTTACTTATATCTCTTTAAAATACTGAATATATTTCGTTGACCAGAGTCCCCAGCAAAATGTACAGAAAATATGACTACTAGTTTTATTGAAAATGTAGGACTAAGCTAGAAGCAGAAAGGACTGGCACACAAAAAGAACATAAGGATTAGGAGCAACAGAGCCAGATAGGATTAGCTTTGTTTTAGGATTAACTTTAACCTTAACTTTACGTGGAACTGATGAAGACTGTTTGGGATATATACATGTTATGTATGTAAACTTGTTATGGTGGCATTAAGGAAAACAGGGATTTCTAATTTAGAAACCTACTGAGGGCCAAACATTTTCTCCTGCCCCCTTCCAATGTTCCCCTTCTGGTTACTGGATGTAGTTGCACTAATTAAAATGGTATAAATTTAAACTTTTCTTTAAAAATAAAGAGAGAGTATTTGTCGCAGAGAAGAAGCACTGACAAATTTGAATTTATCGGGTGGAAATCATAAATTGACCAATGTAAATGTTGTTTTTTCTCTGTTTCAGCTGTGTTTGCTTGCCACTGCTTTCCTCGTCCTGCTGTTTTTCTTTCTTTCTTTCTTTTTTCTAAGAGCTCTTGAGCTGATTTGTTTTCCTATTGCCGATCTGCCAGCAACAGCATTCAGCGAGCCTCGAAGGTTTCATTTTGGGCTTTTGGTTTGGGTGGATGGGAGTGGGGAAGAGAATGGGTTATAAATGTTATATGCAAACAGCCTAAAGCAAACAAACAAGCAGAATATATATAATACAGATTGCTGGTAGGGAAGATGAGAAAACTTGTAGTAAAGGAAGAACTGTAATCCACATACAGGTCCTGTTTCACTGAATGGGTAATTAAAGGATGAAATGTCTTCCATTTATAGTTGTCAAGATATTTAATTTAACCAAGGATATTAAGGCAATTAGCAACATCACTAAGTTACCAAAGATCAAATGGTAGCAATATTAAAAATTAAACTTGTTCTACAAATTTAAATATATTTCTCTAAGTAATATTCTTATTTGATACAGCTGGGGTTTAATAAATTCTGATATCAATTTCTGATTACTTACTTATTTATTTATGTAGCCCAAAAAAGTTATTGGTGCTAGGATAAAATCCAAGCTAATCCAATACCTCAATGGCAGAAATGCTAGTGAAAGAAATAGCACAATTAGTACAAGAAAAAATCTATTCAACTAAGCGTAAATTGTGAAAATGTACAGAATCAAAGTGACAAAATGTTGTCCTAACACAATATGACTATTATTGAATAGTTTTGCTCTGCTGTTTAGCTTAGGATGTTTCAAACATAAATGACTATGTTTATGTGTCAAATATAAATGACTATTAATATGCATTAGGAAACTGATAATCATATTACACAAACAGTTTGCACTATAAATTATTTTAAAAATCATGTTTTGCCTTCCTTTTTCCTTCCTTCTATGCATGAAATGCTATGAATAAACAATAATTCTTGAATATTTTGTCAGCATAAGCTGTGGTAGTTATCTTCCCCAGTTCTGCAATGCTGCCTCATTGTGTCAGGGGTATTATTAGAAATAAATGAGTAAACAACACCAAGATTGTATTTTAAGACAGTTCTTCCAGTAGGGTGACCTAAGGCATGAAGATCACCTAAGCTTTTCAGCTAAAGCAACCAAGTGGCTATATCAGGCAGCATCAATTCTGGAGAAAGATTTACCAGTTTCTGCCACTTCAAGGTATACCAAGCAAAGGACAGACAATATTGGAATTGCAGGAATGCTACTTTATTGTTATAGAATATGATAACAGAATCTAGAAAAATCTGTCCATGTTTCTTATACATCACAAATATTTTGAATTGTGTTATTTTGATTTTCTTTAACCACTGATTTGTGAAAATGGAAATCCATCCTTTCATGTCTTCGCCAAGGTCACTCTGAATTTCTTTACAAATAGCAAAGAAAACAGATTTAACAGCATGTGCATACTATTGCACAATATCTTTAATTTCATATGCTAACAAAATAATGTTTATCCAACACAGATTAGAATACATTATTTATTTATTTTATTTTATTTACATGGATTTATATGCCGCCCTTCTCCCTATAGGACTCAGGGCGGCTTACAGCATATTAAAACACATAAAACATCGTCCCCCCATAAAAACCAATTAAAAACCAAATATTTTTTTTTCGCTGTATAATTAATTAAGATTTAAATTAAAAATTGTCCCTATTTAAAAATTCTCCCTAGGCCAGACCCGCTTGTTGAAAAAGCCATGTCTTGAGGGCGCGGCAAAAAGGTAGGAGGTCCGGAATCGTCCGGATCTCGGGGGGTAGTTCGTTCCAGAGGGTGGGGGCACCTACAGAGAAGGCCCTCCCCCTGGGGGTCGCCAGCCGACACTGCTTGGCCGACGGCACCCTGAGGAGGCCCGCTCTGTGGGAGCGTACCGGTCTGTGGGAGGGGATCTGTGGCAGAAGGCGGTCTCGGAGATATCCAGGCCCGATGCCATGGAGCGCTTTAAAGGTGGTAACTAACACCTTAAAGCGCACATGGGAAAGGAGATGCCAGAGGTTCACACTGGTTTTAAAAAAGGCCAAGGAACATCGTTGCTGATAGATAATGGATAACTGAGAAAGCCAAAGCATACCAAAAAGAAGTAAATGGGGTAAAAAAAAAAACCAGATATGTTAACCGTAATAAGCCACGAAATATCCTTAGGAAAATAGAATTTCTGAGCCATTTTATTGTCTTCATGCAAACCCTATACACAAGACAGGAAAGCCAAAGTCCAGAGAAAACATGGAAAAATGCACTGCTGAATATATATTGGGAAAAACTGAATGGGAATATGGGCATGAATTTAAAATATTAGTAACTTCTACCATGATGATGATTAGTCTGATAGCTGAAAATGCAAGCTATATTAATAAAAACTTAGGACTACAATGAAAAAACTGACATTACAATTAAAGATAAAGAAGACCAATTAATGACAACAACAGACAGCAGCCTTATGAAAATATTGAAGTGGTGGATAACTTCTTCCTTTTAGAATCAGTTATCAACAATAAGGAACCAGGAGTCAAGAAATACACCACCAGCTAGCATTTGGTACAACAGCAATGAAAACCTTAGAAAATATATTCAGATGCCATAATGTGTTTATACATACAAGATCAGAATTGTGCAAGCAACATTTAGGCAAGAAAAACCAAATGCATAGGTATAACATAGGGGGTATGCTCAATAGTAGTAACTGTGAGAGGGACCTCGGAGTCCTAGTGGACAATCACTTAAATATGAGCCTGCAGTGTGTTGCAGCTGCCAAAAAGGCCAACACAATGCTAGGCTGCATTAACAGACAGAAAGATTCAAGATTACATGAAGTGTTAATACCACTTTACAATGCCTTGGTAAGGCCACACTTGGAATACTGCATCCAGTTTTGGTCACCACGATGTAAAAAAGATGTTGAGACTCTAGAAAGAATACAGAGAAGAGCAACAAAGATGATTAGGGGACTGGAGGCTAAAACATATAAGGAACGGTTGCTGGAATTGGGTATGTCTAGTTTAACGAAGAGAAGGACGAGGGGGGACATGATAGCAGTGTTCCAATATCTCAGGGGCTGCCACAAAGAAGAGGGAGTCAAGCTATTCTCCAAAGCGCCTGAAGGCAGGACAAGAAGCAACGGATGGAAAATAATCAAGGAGAGAAGCAACCTAGAACTAAGGAAAAACTTCCTGACATTTAGAACAATTAATCAGTGGAACAGCCTGCCTCCAAAAGCGGTGAATGCTCCAACACTAGAAGTTTTTAAGAAGAGACTGGATAGCCATTTGTCCGAAATGATGTAGGGCTTCCTGCCTGAGCAGGGGGTTGGACTAGATGACCTCCAAGGTCCCTTCCAACTTTATTATTATTATTATTATTATTATTATTGTTGTTGTTGTTGTTGTTGTTGTTGTTGTTGTTGTATTCATGTGACACTATATTGAAGTTGGATTTTGAAGAACCAGCATAGAAAAAGAATTGGTGCTTTTGAACTCTGGTTTAAAGAAGACTCCTGAGAATACCATAGATAACCAAGAAAACAAATAAATGAATCATAGAACAAATCAACCCAGAATTCACCTTTGAAGCACAAATAACCAGGCTAAAATTATCATATTTTGGACATTTCTGCAACAAAAACATCCATCCATAATGCCTGGAAAGGTAGAAAGAAAAAGAGGAAAACTAACCGTAAAGTAGATGGATTTTGTTACAATAACAATGAATGGATTATTGGGAGACCTAAAGATTGGGGACATATCATCATAAAACAGTTCTATATAGTTGTTAAGTGTCAACACTGACTTCATGGCACAATCAAATAATCATAACCAATCATGGGTTATATTCTTAATTCAGTTTGTAGATACTGTTGGAACATATGATCCATTAAATTACTGTTGATAGCAGAATCTGGGAAATTGAATATGGCAATTTCTCTATTGCATTTAGTTACAAATCATAGAGAATTATACTTCAAACAAGGATCAGTCCTGCTCACCTTCAAATCTTCCTGCTGCACCTTGTCTCTATTTACTTTGAAGCCCTCATATTTTAAGGCAAATGCCTGAAAAGGATAATGGTATATCATTATGGAACTAGAAAATCAACCACAATTATTAATGGGTTGTTAAGTACAAATTGTGGTTTTCTGAACACGAAAACTGCATATTAGTTTCTATCCCAGAAATGAAATTCCTGGATAACTGTACATACATCTCAGTTCTCTAAAAATAAATGTATCAATCTATTTTTTGGCATAACTTGCTCCCACCTACACATAAAGTGTCTTGATACTGAACAAATGGTTGTTTCATGTCTAACATTTAAATCAAAACCCTTTACAATTATTTATAACTTTTTATTTTTAGGATTGGATTATTATTATTAGATAGAATCAGGTACCCCATGGCCGCAAAATAGTAATAACAAATAACAATAATTATTTAAAACTGCCAGCCAAGGGTGCTTGTCTTTATAGCTAGACAGGTAGATCATTTAATTAAAACTGTATTGACCATATTGTGTTTGCTGTTGATGAGTGACAGCAAGACAGCGGCAGATGCAATCTCAGCAGATATTGCTTCTCAGAATTATTTTTAAACATCTTTAATCTCTCATTCAGATCACACACTACCTTTGTCTTCCTTCTTTCCCTCCACATTACTCATCACTTCAATAGTGCTTTGTCCAGAGTGGTGGGGAAACAAAGTGGGAATCTACGTAGCCTATCCATCACTTTTTATCTTAACTGAATGACATACAAATTTGATCGATTAAATGAAACATAAGACAACTTTGCATTTCCACACTCACTTTCTCTATTACTTTCAGCCTTCATTGTGACTAGAAACATTAAGCACGATGTGATTTGAACACTGCTGCCAAGCACCCACACACAAGCTGTTACTATAGGAATAAATTGTCAGGCAAACAAGACCCATTCTACGTTATAAGAGGCCAAGAAATCAACTCTAGAAACATCAACCATGTTCATTTTGAAGACTTGTATTAGTGAAAAAAGAGAGAATTTGTAAATTGTTGTTCTCTTGCTTTCAACAGAAGTTCCTACCTCCTTTTCCCACTTTTTTCCAGCTGTGTCGGGTACTGTGATAAGCAGTTAAACTGACCTCTCAGCTCAATTTTGCAGATTTCATAATAAACCAAGACCAGCTGTGATTTCCTTGTATACAAGGTTTCTTTGCTCTCCCATATATTATTGATAAACTTATCACTGTGCAAAATGCAAAGATTTACAGAATCATAACCCTAACTCTTTCTTGAAAAGCTTTGCAAAGCCAATTGCATGAAGGAGGAGTAGGAAAATTGAGGGGGAAGTGGGTAATTTAGATAATTGCATTTATAGATTATATTCATTGTTGTAATTTTGATTTTGCATGTTCCTCTTTCCTGTCCTTCCTGTCCTTATATTTTTAAATATTGACAGCAACCATTTAATTCTAAAGTATGCCAACTAGCTATTAACTCTAATTATAATTACACAGTAACAATAACAACAAACCTGCAGACTAAGCTGCTTATCTATTCCTATTAATGTGTGTATGCCTCATTCAATTGTGAATCAATCAAGAAGCACAAAATGCAAATGTGCCAGGACATAAGTCCACAATTAACAGTCTCAATTATTTGGCACCTGTAATAACACCATTATTCTGTGGGCCGCATTGGTTGCCATTGTGCTTCAGGTTCAATTCAAGGTGCTGATTATCACTTTTAAAGCTTGGATTGGAACCAGGATACCTGAGGGGCCATCTTGTCCCTGTTGTTTTTAACCTATCCAATCTGGTCTGGCATGCTCTGGGTCTATCGGCCAGTTTGATGGGACCCAGGAAACATGACTTTTCTGTCATAGCACCTGCCCTATGGAACATTCTTCTTACAGCAATTAGGATGGGCCCAATCCTGCTGGTCTTTTAGAAGGCTCTGTAAACCTGGTTCTATGCTCAAAATGTGTGAAGAGTCCTGCCTCCTGATTGTGCCGACAGCCATCAACTATGTCATCCTCCTCAACTGTGTACTTTAATTTTTTTATTGATGATGGAAATTTGTTTTTAAATTATTTTGGTTGTTTGCCATCTAGAGTCATTTGTTGAGATGTGCAGCCAAATAAAGTGAATGAATGAATGGATAGATGCAGGGCTTTTTTTCTCACAGAACGCTCAGAACGGAGTTCCAGCACCTTTTTTGGATGGAACCTTGTAGG